ATATATATATATATATATATATATATATATATATATATATATATATTTGGGTTTAAATCCAAACAAAATTTAAAAATCATTTGATGTCTCTCAGATAAAATGGAGATAACATCTTGATAATTCCACCCGAATTACAAAGGGGTGAGAAATATAAAAGTATTTGCATATAATTCTATCTTGTCTGGCTATTGAATGTGAATATTGGCTGCTGAGCATATCCAATGTGAGCACAGCAGAGCGGGATGTTGCGTCTTTAAGAGTTAAGAAACTTGAAACCGTGTTTGCGCAATAATCAGAGCAGCTCTGAGCCGCCAAAGTGTCTAGACTGGCACATGATGGCGGGAATCAGCCAATGGCTCCAGAGCTTTCCTCTGGGGCCCGGAGAGAGACACACGGGGAGAGAGAGGGAAGGTCAAGGCAGGGAAACACACACAGGAAGCCAGGGATTTGGATTTCAAAATAAAAGCAGGAGGTTGACGTTTTAATGGACTCTATAAGATAGGCTGAGATGACCTTAGACTTAGACTCAACTTGATTTATCCCTTGGGTTTACTCCTTCAGGGAAATTCTGGTTCCAATAGCTTATATAGAGTACAAAGAGTTAAAGCAATATGCCATTAAAGATAAAAATACAACAGACATGATAAAAAAAAGTGTATATAGTACAAAAAAGGATTCTAAATACAATAACTATGCATATATATATAAATCAAAATGCATTTTAAAAGAAATGTGTGTATCCAGTTTACCCTCATTAGCAATAAATCCGACAACCTAATGACTTGTTTTGTGGGTAAGAGGCTTAATATTTTATGCAGCTGTCTTTAATTTATTGTAATTATGAATGGTTGGAGACTGGTTAGAGTATTAACTTTTGATTATGTTGTATCCCCCAATTGGTGAAAAAGCAACATAATTGTTAAGATCTGCACCCAAACATGTGACGATCAGAATTTTTAAAGAACCCTTGTTTAATTTCATAAATGCAAAATGCTATGGTTCTAAAGAATTCAAATATCCTTCTGAGTTAAAAAGGTTTCCAATATTGTTACCTCCGCTCTCTTTGATTTGTCATTTTTCTAGTGGATTACTTTATTTGGTCATTTTGAACTAAAGTAAAAACTAAGTAATTTAATAAACATTCAATTAAAAATCATGTTTATGTTCCTGCTTAATTTCTGTTGGAATAATGATAGATATAATGCTATTTGCTTTTTTAGTGTGTGGGGACAGAGTAATTCTATACTATATACAAAACACCATTGTATCACTGCACAACATAGTAATTTTGTGATAAGCATTTGATATAAAAAAATGCTTTTGGTTTTCTGATTCTGAACATGATTTACAGAAAACCAAAGACATTGGAAGAATCCAACTAATCACTGAAGTTACTATTATATTTATTCTATTAATATTCAGTCACATTTACTGTATGGTTCCTATAGGTTGTGAAAATGATTCTTACTTTCCAAATATAAAATTGAGACCCATATAGCTATGGTGGACATGTAATTTCATCCACATCAGTTGTAGTCAGTCAATTTTGTGTTTAAACTATAGATGTTTGTATTTTGCTCTAATAGAAGATGCCTGGCTCCAATAAGTAAATATTCACATGGGGCCCATATAGATTTATTGAATTGCTGTACCATTAAAAAAATATATTTCATGTGCCTTTCATCACAAGAATATATGGAAGAGGATTAGGGCCACTGAAAAAATTAAAAAAGTTAACTGATTTAAAATTTTATTTCAGTATAATATGAGAAAAAATGCAGAATTCTCATTTTAATCTCAGAATCATGACTTTAATCTCAGTGCTCCCACATCTCTTCCTTTATGGTGCCCATCTACATTAAGATACAAAATTCTGAGATTAAAGTCAGAATTCTGAGAAAAAGGCAGACTTCTAAAATTAAAGTCAGAATTCTGAGAAAAAAGTCAGAATTCTGAGAAAAAAGTCAGAATTCTGACTTTTTTCCCATATTAAACTGAAATAATATTTAGAAAATCTGTTAACTTTTTTGTTGTTTCTTTTCAGTGGCCCTAATCTTCTTCTGTACAAGAAATATGCCATATAGTGCAAAGGGAAATGGAAAATTAACCCATTTAAAAAAAAAATCTATATCACTCCTTCCTCAATTTGAAGCGTGTTCCTTTGATAGATTATCTACATAATCATGTTATGAAAAACCTCCCAATCACTTAACTTTTTTTGAGAATAAGTTATAGCTACTTTAACTTGGAAACAAAATCTAAACATCCTGCCTTCATTCCGTGTGGCTTGATTTCTGAGAGAGCTTAGGAGCGTCTGTGCGTGAGCGGGTGCGTGTTTATGTGTGTGCGTGTCTCTGTGTGTGAGAGCATGTGTGTACGTCCGAAAAAGACTCGCAGGGGAGTGGAGAGTGGAGTAATTCCAGCTCTAAACTTCTTTGCACGGAATCCGTCCGGTCGTTTGGCACCAGAGCGCCCGGACGCCTCTGCGTTATGCATGGAGTCCGGCGCCGTTTAGGAAGGGATTTCCAGCGCTGTGAGGATTCATTTTAGGCGTGAAGGAAAAGAAGAGTTTGAAACATCAAGGCAAAACTCCAGGAAACTTTGGATCCTAGATTCTGATGGGGTTGTTCTGATGTAAACTGATGCTGTCTGACTATGCTGTGTGGATTGCGTGCTGGATCATCTGTTGGAGAGGTGAAGATTTTGTAGAGCGGCTGGCAAAAGTTTTGGCTTAATTAATTTAACGACAGCAGTTCAGAAAGAGGTGGCTGTGATCAGCCCTCTGGGGAAAACTAATGATGTTTAGCGCGGCGTCTGTCTGAGTTCAACTTTCTGATGCTGCAGAGGAGCAGGGGAACCGCGACCACCGGCTGCGCACGCTGTGCGCACCGTGCACCAACTCCCGGTCTTTGGAGACAAGTGTAAATCGATGCGGCATCCCCCGAGAGGCGGACGGGACCGACAGGGCTCATCCAAAACCGTCTAGGTTGTCGTATGTTCAAGTCGAAACGCTCCGGTCTTGTTCGGCGTCTCTGGAGAAACCGTCTGGTCACCGAGAGCGGCGGGCGGGATGGAAGCAGACGAGGCGAGGCAGGACGGCACGGTCACTCAGGAAGGCTCCACAGACACGAGCAGAGGTCGGTGACACGCACTGACGCGGGACTCTCCGCTGAGGCTGGAGACATGACGGAGAGCGTGGAGAGGGAGGAAGAGGAGCAGCCGGATGACGACCGGGGTGTCATGTGCGTTGCAGGGCGCAGGAGCTCTCTGCCGGAGCAGGAGAGCGACGGCAGGACGGTGATGTGCTGTTTGTTTGGGGAGTGGGATCTTAGACCACGGAGCTCCTACTGGGCCCTGAGAAAAGACGGAGGGCCCCCCTGTCAGTGCGCACCTAGGCGCACTGGCCTCGATGAGGACATAGCGAGCGCTGCTCACACTTTTTTAAAAAGACTTAAAGACAGATCTCTGGATGCTCTGGTGAAGGCTGTGGAGACCAAAGGAGGGATACCAGGGGAGTGCGTCCTTGTGCCGAGAACCGAGCTGCGCCTGAGCGCGCACCACGTCTCCCCTCAGTATCTGTTGTGTCGGCTGTTTCGCTGGAGCGACCTGCCGCTCTCAGCTCGGCTCAAAGCGCTGTGCCACTGCCAGAGCTTCGCTTCTGGAGACAGCGCAAAGGTGTGCTGCAACCCCTATCACTACAGCCGGCTGTGCGGGCCAGGTGAGGACACCAACACTGGAAGGGGGGTATAAACATGCTGCTGGGTGGGTCAAAAGATACATTTCAAATAATAATACAGCGCATTATTTCGGGGGGCCCCGTGGGGCCCTGGATTCTGAAGAAGCTCTTCTGATTTAATGGCAGATAGATCCCGAGAAAAAGGATTAAAGAATCTAATGAGAGTTAAATCCACCTGAGGACTTATAATAGTGACTCATGGTATAAACTATTGCGCGAATTAAATGGGTATTTCCAACACTTTTGTTTGCCTGCAGCAGTTTTTTTGTCAGTCAAGCAAAAAGGCTCAGTTTTAATCTTTTTTAGCAAATATTTCTTATTATAAGCTGGTAGTTTTGTGGATGTAAAAAGTGATGAAAACAGGGTTGCTTTGTTGTGTTTTTTTTTTTATAACGTTTCCAATATTTTTTAAAACTTTTTAGCAGCTTTTACACACCCAAACACATTCATATGCTTCAACTTTTTTTTTTCTGTTGTTGTAAAACTTTGCTTTGTTCCCACACAGTCCCAGCGATGTTAGCTCTCAGATTGCACTAAGGCTCGTTTTGCTCTGACAAGGAGGTCCTCCTCCTGTTATTTAGGTGAAGGAGTGCCGATAATATACAGTTTGCATAGCGCTGGCGCCAGACTGACTCGCTGGGTATCTGACAGACTGAGGACTCCAGCAATTACTGGCTCTGCTCTTAAAGGGGCCGCAGCCACAAACCCAGGTCCACTTCACATTGAAGGGACTCTCCCAGCAACAGCAGCTATTTTTCTCAAGATTTCTCAGCTTCCTTTTGGCGTCTGAGTAGAATAAACATGTTAGTTATGCTGTAGTAAAAATGATAAAAGAGGGAAAGGCACACCAATCAAGGTGATGAAGCTTGTATATTGAAAATACACAAAAATATAGAAGATTTTAATGCCTAACAGATTTGTTTTATTAGAAATAAGAAATAACAACAAAATGAAAGACTTATATTTGCTTTTAACTTAAGCTTTGAAGCCTTTCAGAGAGGTTCATCTTAAAGCTGGTTTAGAAATAGGGTTAAAATTTCTGGTTGAAATGCTGAATATCAGTTTGCTTTTTGTACAGTCTCTAAATACAGATAGTATCGTCTTGACATACATGTTTAAATTGATTACGGTCATTTTATTTCATCACCATTTTCTAATTTTGTATTTTTTTTATTTAAAAAGGTTCCATTAGTGGAGGAGCATCTTATAGCGAGGGTCATGGGTCAGATTACAGTGTCTATGTTATGTTTTCTATCCACAGTGGCAACATAAGATTTAAAGTTCTGTGAAAAACTAGATTTTACTCTTTGTCTGATGTTAGCAAATGCAGTTTTGTGACTTAAAATGCTCATATCTTTAGCAGACTTATCATAATGTGTCAAATTTGACTAGCCAGGGGATGTTGAAAGAGAATATGAGCCATAATTTTCAGTTATAATGAAATGAACACTATTCATTAGATTTGATAATTTATGTTTTAACTATATTTAATGAAAGTACTCTGCTAAAACTAGTAATATACTCCTTTTTTAGGCACTTAGGACAAGTTTCAGATGAACGGAATGGCAAAAAGTTGTAATAAAATGGGGGACATGAGGCTAATTGACAGGAAATCTTTGAAAAATTATTCCTGTAGGATTGAGACTTTTTGTTTGTTGTTGGACATAATAACACAACAAAATATAAATAAGAAAAAAGTGATATCATTTTATTATGATCATTTTTCTTACAGTCACTCAGACTTTCAGGTTTATAGTTCCGCAAAGTAACAAAAATTTCTTTAAAAGCTGGAACATCAGATGTAAAGTTGGTGGTTTCTCACCGAGCCAAACCTATAAAAAAATCCAAAATGGCCACCATGTTACCATGATAAATTTATTTTAATCATTAAAAAAGATTTTAATGATGGAACATTCATTCCCAGGTCCGAGTTCACAAGTGGTTGAAGCACCAGCAACCAACACATTTTCTTGGTTGGCTGTTGTCCCCTTCAGTTTATGCTGGGAGTTTTACTAGTGTTCTCCGCTGGACTTCTCTTTTGAATTTTTATTTTACAGCACAGACCAGTGTGCTTTAGCAACTTAATCTTTTTCCCTGTGTAAGTTCGCAGTCATCCAGGTTGTTACAGTCACAAAACATGCTGAAATCTGAGGCAGTCTGACTTTTGCTAAATTTTCCTGCAGATGTTTTGTCTCCTATCCAGGAGTCCTTGTTGTTCTAGAGCAATCTGAGGTTGAAGCTTTGATGCTTTTAATCAAGATGGTGGTCCATCCTCCTAAGCAGAGGACCTCGGCCTTTACTGCAGATCCTCTTCATTACATTATTACTGAAAATAATAATTTATGTAAAACTTTTTCTCAAGTACCTCTAAATATTTATACCCAGTTTCACCACTTAAACATTTGGATACAGGTTTTTCAATCCATATAAATATGTGTATTTTTGTGCTTGTATTTAATAGTACCTATGCCATAATACCTTTTTCTTTTGTTGGAATTTCAGAATCACCTCCTCCTCCATATTCTCTGTCCCAATCAGATGAACCTAAGCTACTGGGTAAGTAAAAAAAAAAAAAAGCAAAAGAAGCCATCCATCAAACGGTTGAACTAACAGGCATGTGTCCTCAGCATCATATTTTTAGCGTGGAAACACGGCTTATCTTTGTAAAGCTGCTGCCGTTGAAAGTGACACCCGGTTATGAGGTGCGCACACAGTTTGTGTGAGAATAGTTTTCAGTCCAAGAAACTTTCAAAAAAATACCAAAGTGGATTTAATTTTGAATGTCTTAATTAGCTAATTTTAAGAAAGTTTGTAATACTTTATCATACACACAAACATTACTTCTGAAATTACTTTTGTTTACTGCAGTTACAAAAAACTATTTCCAGGAGAATATTTAGCTCCTGGAACTTTTGCCTCCTAAAGAAATTACAGGAAAGACAAATGACCTGGATCTCATGTTTCTCTTGCTTTCTTTTTTTTGTAAACAGACTCAGCTCTGTCTTACACTGAAACTGCGGCCCCCCTCCTCCCAAGTCCGCCCCACATTATGCCAAGAGACTTAACAGGTGAGTCACCTACTTTTTCCTGCAGAAATATTTAGACATTTTTTGGTAAAGAGTTTTTGTTGACGCTAAAAAGTTGCAGAAGTTCTCCTCACAGAATGCCTAAAAGTTTTTTTGTTCATTTTCCTCCAAACGACACACACACACACACACACACACACAGACACAGAGCCTCATTAATGCAAACATAAATGCCATATTTTCTGCCTGGATGTTTGCACAAGAGGGTAAATTATATTTACTAGCGTTATCGTGTTGTGCTTTCCCCCTATCTTCAAAGGCTGTGGGGACAACCCAAAAGGCCCACTGCATAAAGCTCCTATTGTGAGAGTGGCATGGAGGGCCTGGTGGGGGTCTGGGGTCTCACTATCTAGATGCCTCAGCAGTGTAGCATTTCTCTCTCTCCTTCCTTGTCTGCGCTTTCTCCACGGCGAAATATTTCACCGGGACGGAGCTGCAACAAGATCCCCGTGCATACTCCCAATCCTTTTTGCCTCTCTAGCCACCCATCCCCCCTTTCCCTCTTTCTTCCCTCAAATCCCTTCATTCCTCTCTGCAATTGAGCAGTGGAAAGAGGCTGGCACTTTGGAGGCGGGAGGGGGGGGCGCCGAGCCGCTCTGATGAGGCGGCGGTGTAGAGTTTTGTGTGCGAGTGTATATGTGGAAAGAAGGAGAGGGGGGGCAAGTACTGAGTTGGGACAGGAAACAGCCCCCTCTAGATGATGAAACTGGAGCTTTATTTGTTTACGTGCTGGGGTCGGGTGGAGAGGTCCTTGTAGCGTTAGAAGAAACCCACAAACCCACTCAATCAGGCCTCCCTGGGCTCACTTGTGGACGGTGTTGAAAGGTGAATGGGCACCTAGAAAGTCTGTGCAGTGTAGTCACGGCACTGCGGTGCCGTCTGAAGTACAGTCAGAGGAAGGCCTTTTCACTTGGACGGCTGCAGAAGTTATATTCAGATTTCAAATGCTTTTCACATAACTTATTGTTCAGTTTTAGGGTGTGTGGGGTATTTTTGCACATAAAAACATGCATTAAGATTCTACACCTCTAATAAGGCATGCAGTAAATTCTGTACATTTAAAGTGTCAAAACCATCACTGTTAAAATGTTAAGTACAGTAGTTTGGAAAAGTTAGAAACCACTCCCACTTTATTTATAGCTTCCTTTTAAGCAGCAATGCTTTCCATAAGGGATCTTGATTAATAGTGCTCTGTCGTTGTTTATAATGTTTCTTTTTGGTTACAACTTTCCCATCCAGTTCTTTTTAATTCAGATCTGCAAAAAATTTACTTAATCTGGATATTGAGTCTTTATGGATTAAATAAAAGTCATTAAAAAAGGCGTAAAAACCACCGGAGAGATGCAGCATCTTTTACCTGATCTTCTCAGATTTTCCTAATATCACTGACCGAGTTATCTTGTTGATACCCCTTTTTTTGCATTGATATTAGCAGTTCTCCACATTTGTAACTTAAGAGATGATGGAAATATATCTGAGGACAGAGGAAGGAATTATATCTGCTTGTTTTTGCTGGTGTCAAAGAAACTAAAGCTATAATTTGAAACACATTTTTTCAGACGTCTATTACCTGCGTACATACCACTGGTTTATCTGTTAAGTACTGGATACTTTGGGTCAAATAAGTCCTTTGCCTTTTGCATTACTTTCTACTTTAGCTTCATAACCATTAGCAAAACATTTCATCCCATACCTGTACCTTCGCCTTTTTCTTCCAATTTAGTAGGTTTTTCGGTGAGTTATGTAGATGCTGAGTCATAGAAATGTACTGTCATTAAATTAAATTATATATTTTTGGCTAAAGAAAGTCATATTTAATAATATTTCAATGTTATTTTGTTTTAGATTATCTCCAATTTTGCCTGTATACTCTTATGGCAGATTATTATGACCCTTCGATCAAAGCAGAGATTTTTTTATGGATGCTTTCAATTTAAGTCGTTTAACCACATTACATTACATCCGATTGGAATAACTCATAAAAATGTCCTTAAAATCATTGTTGTTTTAAAGCTAAATTAATAGGTCCTCTTGATAGGTACAGATTACTGCGTGGTCAGTATAATACACTAACCCAGGAGAAAAGTGTAAAATGACCAGTACTTGTTTACAAGCCCAAGGATGAAGAGATCAGAGTTAAATGGCTTTGAAAAGGAAACGTTAAATAGTTGTTATAAAGAATAGAGCCACAAATGTTCTTTGAGACTTTCACCTCTTAAAAGCGTTGCTTGCTAATTTACTGCATACTTTTAGATAGAAAAAGGTAAAAATGCTTATGCATATTGTTCATATTTAAAGGTAAAGTCTCTAAATCTGATCAGTCTGAAGGCTTCTAGTATCAGGTAGTGATATTAATGATTTCTTTAAAATTCTTTGTGAGAAAGGGCCCAACCCATGCCATGTATTTAGTGTGTGTTTGTGTGTGTGTGTGTGTGTGGTCTCTGATCCGCTGCCCCCCTCACCAGAATGCTGGAGCCGAGAATCGCAGCTCAAGCCAAAAGCGTAAGTAGCAGCGAGACTTAGGTAAACAGAGGCAGCCAAGAAATCTGCATGTGGCTTTTGTTGCTCACTTTGACATGTTATATGAATCCTGTTAGGAGCTAAAGCCTGTCAAATACCAGGAAACAGGCTGAATTTGCAGCCCATAGCAACATGTATCAGAGAGGTGACTGTATCTATTTAATAAAAGCTTTAATCTCAGAAAGATCCTTCAAGAGGAGTTAATCCCCATGTATGCCACCTTAAGCTTCTGATATTTTCTTTACAACAAAAACAAGCAGGTACTCTGGCACTCTGGCATCTTTCTTTTTAACCTTTAAAATCCACCAACCAGCTTAGCCATAAAAAAGTCAAACCAAGGCGTGGTCCATACATACCTTTGCCCTGGCCGCTTTTATCGTTCGATCAGTTAACGTTCCCTGCAGAAGTAAGCAGGCCTGCTATGACGAGGGGGGAACTGGAAGTTTGTATGTTTATATCTCAGTGGACCATCCCTGTGTGACTCCCAACAAAACGTGTGATTCAGCTGCTAATTTTCCAGTGTGTGTGAGTCTGTGTGTTCGTGTGACGGGGGAGAGACAGCAAGGAATTTCTGTCTGACTCTGTGATAAGATCGTCTCAGTGTGCTCACATAGGGGCCCTATCAGGAGAAAAACTCGCACACACACACACGTTCTGCCATCACGCAGTGAGTTGGGTGGGATGAATAGATGTGTTTTTTTCACCTTAACGGTAGATGTCTAAGGGAGAGTTGTCTGTTCTCTGGGCGTTGGAGTTTGTTTAAAAAGGCTTCTGTTGCCATTTCTCAAATTACCAAGCCAGTCTGCAGTATTTAAATTTAGTCTCTCTTTTGCCATGGTATGCAAATGACTGAAATGAGGGATGAAACTTGTTGGGCTAACAATAGTCTTAGGCATTGTTTCTTAAAAAAACGTCCCATTGGGAGCTTATATTAATGAGAAAGCTAAATATAATTCACATTGAAAAATAAAGATGAACACCATCGTGGTTATGATAGGGCCTCACACTGATCTGAAAACATCTTAATTTGTTATTTCTTAGTACCTTAAATAAAAAAGCATAAGCTCAATTAATCAGCTACTAAACTAATATAGCTTTAATATAGCCTGTTCTATTAATTATCTAGGTCTTTCAGTTTTTTCCTGTCAGGAGTCGCCACAGTGAGTCATCCATCTCCATCTAACCCCATCATTTGCAGCTTCTTCTTTCACACCAGCTACCTTATCCTCTATTAGTCCTTCCTTCAATCTCCTCTTCGGTCTTCCTCTAGGCTCAACAACCTTCTGAAAATGTTCTCACTACCCTTTTTTTGTACATGTCCAAGGCGTCGCAGTCTGGCCTCTCTGGCTTTAACTCCAAAGCCTCTAATGTGAGCTGATCCCCTAATTCTCTCATCCCTGATCCTATGCGCCTTCCACCCTCTAAAGCTGGGCCTTTTTCAGGCCGATTCTCCAGTCATGCGAGAATTTTTCGATCGGGCTGAGTTTCAGTTTCATCGTGCGCCATGTAGTGTTCAGGGGGTAACGAGGAGAGATCAGCCTCTCACGACCACCTCCCGATCAGGAATCGTAAGGTCGATTCAGTCGGCCGTCGTGAGATCGCATCAGATCGTCGGGCCGCACAGTGTGAGAACATGCATCGTGAGCTGTGAACTTTTAAACCCTGTGGTTTCGTCATACAGTTTGAGTTGTAGCTGCGTGAAAAGATTGAAAATGTCGCACAGTGTATGTCTGGCTTTAAAGAGAACCTCAACATCTTTATCTCTTCTACCTCCAGCTCTGTCTCCTGTCTCTTCCTCAGTGCCATTGTCTGAAAACCTCTCAACATTGCTGTTCTTTCCTTCCAGTTACAATCTGCTCTGACACACTTCTTACACTTTTTTCCACACTCACCGTTAGGGGTGAGTATGGCCATGGATGCTGCGATACGATACTTGTCACACTACTTGGCCCATGATACCATATTATGTCGATATTGCAATATCACTATATTTTGCAAGATTTTTCCCATCCACCAGAGTGGAGGTGCAGAGGTATTCCATTTTCCCTCATTGTTTTAGGTAAAAGTGCTGTTTTTTTTTAAATTTATACTAGGAACTGAAAAATCTATATTATATCGTGCAGCCGATATATCACCAAATTTTTCCACACCCCTGCTCACTGTTGTTCTTGCCTGTCGACCCTAAGTACTTAAAATCCTCCACCTTTTTTTATTTCTGCTCCCTGTAACTTCATAACTCCACTCCAGGCCCTCTTCTTGACACACATGAATTCTGCTTTTCTACAGTTAAACGTAGTTCTTCATCTCTCTAGATGTCCTCCACCTGTTCTTTGCTCTCTCTAAGCATTGCACTTGTCAAGGATTCTCTGCTGATGAAGTATAATATAAATGCATTTTTAAATCAGTTGTTATAAAACAGTTGGCTGCATGCACCTGCTATCCTCCAACAAGATTTTTTTTTC